AAATACACCGGACTCAAACATCTACCCCAATTCAGGAAGTATGCTTCTGGCAAGAAAAAAACGTTACAGGAGAGCCACTGATCGGACGGGGGAGAATTTAGATTTGATCTTCACCAGTCCGGGACAGGCACACTCCACTTCAGGGAATGCTGTGTGCCCGGCGTCCACTGCGTTAGCGCCGGTCCCCCGAGCCACCCTGAAGATAAGCCTTATGGTCCCCATTACACAGATGAGGGGGCCAGGGTGCGAGGGGACTGAGGGACAAGCTGGGAGGGGTTCGAGTCCTGGGTAACAGGGCCGCCACTTAGGAACCTGGCCTGACACCTGCCCCCTCCCCCAGTCCCCCCATAAAGCAACTTCAGGGGAAGATAATGATCTCCCTAGAACAAAGGTAGAGGTTGACAGAAATCCCCAAAGGGAAAGTTAATTAGGAATAAAGCTCTCCCTGCTCATTCTGCCCCAGTTGCGGCTGTGTTCCTGCGGACTTACTGGGCGCCTCCTGACACGCAGACAGTGCTTGTTGATGTTAAGGTTAATGATTATGTGGGACCGAATGCCTCTGAACACTGCTGCTCTGTATTCATTCACTCCTGCCAACTCCCCTTCTTCCTTTGACAAACACCTACTTCTTTTTTTCCCTCGAATTAACTATCTATTATTCAATAAAGCTTACTAAAATACAGCACTCACAAATCATGGGGATTTGCTAAGCTATCAGGACCAGAGCCGGACTCCTCCATGTTGGGCCAGCACATCCTCAGAGACCCTTACAGAGAGGCTCTGCCACCCGCTCTCCCCAGACCCCTGTTCTACCAGTTCCTCCACTTCTCTCCAGTGACAACCAAACGGAGCTTCCCGAGGTTCTTGCCTGAATTCCCAAGGATTCTTGTGGGGTTATCCCAACAAGAAGTTTTAAAACCTCTCTAGGCCGCATCCCTGGCAGACAGCCTAGCGACACACAGTGTTTTGGAATGAGCGGAAAGGGCCCGATGCCTTTGCCAGTTGTGAGCACCCCAGCGGGGTGGTGAGTGCCTGGCGGGAAAGAACTGTGGGGGGACTCGCACCACACAGGGGCCACCGAAAGGAGGCAGGTTTCCACCAGGAACAAGCCAAGGCTGGGGTAGGAGGTCTGCAGGCAGAGAGGCCCCTGGGCCTGGTGTCAGTACAGGCAGACGCAGCTGAGTGGAGTTCTCCATCCCCCCAGGGGCCCAAAGGAGTCAGCGTTTTCATTATTGAACCAAAGTTGGGAAGAAGTGCAAAAATAACGTGTGTGTATGGAGATCACGAAGAATGCCCCTTCTCTGCCCCCCGAGGCCCAGCAGGGACACACGTCAGATAGAATCGGTCGGCCCAGTGCCAAGCCGGTGGATTTTCAGGGCTCTCGGGATGGCCCAGCGTGGAGGGGCTGATGTCATCCTGAAGCTGAGACAAAGGCCACCGTAATTTCCCCGGGGGCCCAATTACTGTGTGGGAGCCCTTCCCCCCAGCTCTGCCTCGGGAGCCACACCTTCCTGGGAGCAGGGACTCCAGGCCCAAGTTGTAATTATCAACTCCTCCATTCGGTCTGCACCCCGTCGACACGGGAGGTTTCCAGCCCTCTCCTGGCCCAGGGTCACCAGGCTGTGGCTGACCTTGAGAACAAAGGCATCTGCTATCTCTGAGAGATTTTTTTTTTTTTTTTTTTTTTTTTTTAGCTCACTGGCTTGGCGATTCATCTTTTAGGCTTTGATTAGCAATTACGAACCATGTGCAATTCTGGAAATGGGCAGTTTTTGACAAAACGGACGGGCGCTAGGGATATTTCTCAGGATTTCCAAGAGAAAAATCACACTCAGGATAGATCTCTCTCAGAATAAAATCTAAATTCCTTCCCATGGCCTACAAGGTCCTCGGTGAGCTGGCCCTGCCCCTTCCCATCTCCCTCCTCTCCGGGCATATTGTGCCTCTTCCAGTTTGTCAGATATGTCAACATGCTCCCACTCTCTCTCGCCTCAGGGCCTTTGCACCTCCTTTGCTCCCCGGCAGGGATGCTCTTCCCCAGCCATCTGCCTGCTCGCTCCCTTGCTTCATGCAGGACTCACTCAAATGTCACTTTGTCAGATGAATCTTCACTGGCCACCAGAAACACACACTCACTTTCTTAAGTCTGTCACTGAAACTGACCTTTTTATTCCGATTTTATTAATATCCCCAAGTCAAATTTTAAGTGATTTGATGAATTTAAAGTCTTATTGATGACATATGCATTTTTATCCAAAAGCGCAAGTGTAAATGCCATAAATCTATTTCTCTTTTTGTTTTTGTTTGTTTCTTGTTTTGGTTCCTTCTCCAAATGCCTCTCCTTTTGCTGTGCCTTCCAAAATTGAAAGCCGAGAACTCTGTCTCTAAAGAGAGCTTTTGCGATCGTACGTTAAGTGATGCCACTGGCACACTGGAAGCCGAAGACTCCGAAGCCAATGTAAGTTGGATAAAAACTGGAGCACACCTGGCTCTGAATGTCAGAGCAGAGTGGCCCAGGGCCAGCCGGACACTGCCTCTTGAGCCCTGGGATTCACAGCTTCACTACACTGTTAGCACAGCCGAAGTGAGCTTTTCTTAAAACAGCCTAAGTGTAAATGACACACATTAAACCAAAGAGGGTCAGAAGAAAGCCAAGTATGGTACCACAACGCCCTGCTTTCAGTAATATGAACAAAAAACCCTCAAGATTGATTCTGAAGGCAGCAAAGCTAAAAACAAATCATGTAAGCTACCTAGATACCTAGATATCAAGGCAAATCGTCCTTTGCAGAAACCCTATGTAAAAATGAAGTTGGGACTGCCCTGGTGGTGCAGTGGTTAAGAATCCGCCTGCCCGTGCAGGGGACATGGATTCGAGCCCTGGTCCCGGAAGATCCCACATGCCGTGGAGCAACTAAGCCCGTGAGCCACTACTACTGAGCCCACAGGCCACAACTACTGAGCCCGCATGCCTAGAGCCCGTGCTCCGCAACAAGAGAAGCCACCAAAATGAGAAGCCCACACACCGCAACTAGAGAAAGCCCACACGCAGCAGCAAAGACCCAACACAGCCAAAAAAAAATGACGTTGGATTCTGGAAAGGTGGACTAAATGTAATTTTCCCACTAAGTACAGCTTAAAACCCTATACATTATATATAAAACAAACACAAGAAGCTTCTAAAAGACGGAGAGAAGAAGGCAGACTGGCTAGGGACCTTGGGACCCAAGGAACGACATGGCGGTGAGTTTCCTGAGTTTTCTTTTTGCTTCATTTACCCCTGACTGGGTGCTGAAAAGACAGTGACCAGAAACCCCAAAAGCCCCAAGAAAAGCCTGCTGTCTTCAACTAAAGGACCAGGCCTGGGGCAGCCCAGCAGGGCAGAAACTTTGGACAACAGCGTCTGCAGTGCAGACACCGCAACAAAGAGCAGTGGAGCATCTCCCCCAAATCTGAGTCCTGCTCCCACACTCTTCAGAGGGGCACAGAACCAGCCCCGGAAGTTTAATAGCTGTCCTTTCCGAGTTGTATCCAATAACCAGAGACACCATGGGAAGTTCCAATTGTCTGAATAAGCCTTACATCTACAGCATGTTGCATTGTCTTTACTGCACAATATATATATATATATTTTTTTTTTGCAGTACGCGGGCCTCTCACTGTTGTGGCCTCTCTCGTTGCGGAGCACAGGCTCCGGACGCGCAGGCTCAGTGGCCATGGCTCACGGGCCCAGCCGCTCCGCAGCATGTGGGATCTTCCCAGACCAGGGCACGAACCGTGTCCCCTGCATCGGCAGGCGGACTCAACCACTGTGACACCAGGGAAGCCCTACTGCACAATATTTTGCCTGCCTGTACAGGCTTGTGGCTCTAATTTCCTGCGTCAACTTACCTCTGACACTTCCAATGCATGTTGATTCAGGTTATACATCCTTTCCCCTACAACTAACAAACTTTCTCAGGACTGTAGGTATTAACTACAATCACAAGAATGAAATCTTGTGTCCCTGGAACTCAAGATTAAGTAGATACATTTTTCTAAACTTATAAAAGAAAAGGGGGGGGAAAAACCCCTAGGCATTTATACAGTTTTTGCTTTTATTTTAATTGGAAAAATTCTCTGGTCTCAGTTCCTATTTAGCCCTAAATTCCTTACTTTCCACACATGCTCCTATACACATTATATGAATAAGAACTGCTTTTCAAATATTGAAATACCATGTCAAAGGGAGGAAAAAAGATTACTTGAACTTTGATTCACCGCACTGGATTTACTAAGACAGGAAAGTAAGCTCAGCCATTTTAGAAAGATTTTTCAGCAAGAGTTGAAATTGAAAGGAATTGTTTTAATTAGACACAAATTACTTGGAAACCTTCAGCGCGCCTGTCAATTGAGGTTCTGCTGTGTCTGGCGGAGCTGCAGCCACAGGCAGAGGGAACATCTCCCACGGAGCTGTGCAAGGTTCTGGATGAGACCAGACGCTGGGAGGGTTCCGTGCGACAGGCGGCCTGTGCAGGGGAGCCCTGGTCACAAGCACCACTCCTTGCCGCCTCAGGGGCTTTGCCATCTCAGGGGCTTTGCCATCTCAGGGGCTTTGCCCAGGTGACAAAGTAAGGCAAAGAGTTAGGGGGATACTTTCCCCCTTGCTGTCTGTACCACTCTGCTTCCAAGGATCGATGCTTAGGAGGATAATGAGGCAGCACCTGCGGCCCAGCTAGTGGCAATCTGCGGATAGGCAGCTGTCCAGCCGGGGAAGCACTGCTTCTCTAAGCAATGCCATAGGCGGCCGCTGCGGACACATGGGGCCAGCGAGCAGGACAGAAGGAATGGAGTCAACGCCACATGGCACCTGCAGCTGGGCAGGGGACACCACAAGCCCCTGGGAGAGGCGGCTGAGGCCCCTGGATTCGGATGTGGCTATCACCCTAGACTTTGGTTATTCTGACAATTCAACCTCTTGGCCGCTCCGAGTTCCCTATACATGTCTGAATTGTTTGTAGGATACACGCGTGCATCACACACCTGCTGCGCAAACGCTCTTGGTTGGAAAAACCAGAGACTCACCCAGGAGCAGTCACAGGGCATGGGAGAAGTCATCACTTGGGGGCCCAAGACCCCTACCGTGACCATGAGGATAGCTCTCCAGAGGCTGGGGAAGCAAACGGGATGAGCCTCCGAGGAGGGCACATGCGCTGGAGCGGGGTAGCACAGCCTGGTTGGGACGAGAACTTCGACCAGGCCCCGCCAGCGGGAACCATATCTTCCGGTGAACAAATCATGGAATCCAAAGGGCTGGTGAGAGACCACTGGCCTGGGCCAGCAGGCCATCACTCCACCTCAAGGGAGGGATGGTCAACAGTGAAGAACTTAGAGGCAGGGGTAGCCACACCAGAGCCTTCACCTCAGCCTGCCCTGAAGCACTGACTCATTCCCGTATGAAAAGATAAACTGAAGCCTATTAAAAATTTGAAGCGGGCTTCCCTGGTGGCGCAGTGGTTGAGAGTCCGCCTGCCGATGCAGGGGATGCGGGTTTGTGCCCCGGTCCGGTAAGATCCCACATGCCGCGGAGCGGCTGGGCCCGTGGGCCATGGCCGCTGAGCCTGCGCGTCCGGAGCCTATGTTCCGCAACGGGAGAGGCCAGAACAGTGAGAGGCCCATGTACCGCACAAAAAAAAAAATAAATAAAAAATGTGAAGAGTTTATTTGAGCCTGTGTGGATCCAAATCGGGCAGCACCAAACCGGAAGTGGTTAAGAGCCCTCCACCAACAGGAGCTGGGGAGAGACTTACAGGGAAAATGCAGAAGCAAAACAAGGAAGTTATTGATTGGCCGCAGCTTAAAGCCTGCTGCTTCTGATTGGTTGTCCTCGGGTTTTGATTTCCTAACCTTGAGGCATTTATGGCCTTAGGCTTTGGTTTGCTTACTTAGGGCACCGCGGCCTTACAGCCTCTTCAGTCTGATGGCCACCGTGTTTCATTAACTGAACACCAGCAATGCGGAAAGGAGCACGCAGAGGCTGGGAGTCACACAAGGCAGACCTGAGACGCCCCAGCTTTTCCCCAACCTAGAAAACCCAGCCAATCACAAGCTCCATTCTTGTATCTGCCCCAGGTCGCATGCAACTTCGGATCTGTGGTCTTCCACTTACGATAGAAGGCTTGTAAGTGAATGGCAGACTGCACATCATCAGATGCAGAACAACCACCATAACAACCTCGACCTGTAGGTGAGCAGGGCAACATGACAGACCCAGGGTTCTCCTGGACGGCAAGTCAAACGTCACCTTCGACCAAAAGGGATCCAAAAGAAGAAACTCTTGTGAGGACCCACCTATGGGTCAGTCCTGGTTAGCAGCATGGACTTGGGATAGAATGATCAAATTTACAAAAATAAAAAAGGAGCTTGCAATGTCATTACTTTGGAAGAATCTTTAAAGGTAGAATCATCCTCTACAAGAACGTGCTAGGTGCTACCCTGCTTTCCTGAAGACTGTTATCCTTCACAATGAATAAATAACCAACCACTGAGAGCTTGGCCATTCCTGGAACTCAAAAAGGCTGTTATGCTCTTAAGGCATGGAAGCACTTTTACGTTCTAGAGCCATCTCTACATTTGTCAGAAGAGGGTAATTTTATGCTCTCAAACGATTTCTTGGTATGCTACTATTTAAAAAGAATTCTTGAGGGAATTGGAGAATGAGAAGAGGGTGTGACCGTAATGGAAATAGTCTTTGGAACCAATCTTGCTAGCCACCCTACTGTTCCCACTGCTTTTCTTTTTCGAATAACATGTTGCAATCTCCTCTGGCAGCTTAGAGAGTCACAAAAGTGATCATTAACTAACTGTTAATTCCCATTTTCTGGCTACTTCATTCTGTGGTCCTTTTGCAGGTTGTGACCAGCTCCTATCAGTCAGTGTTCGGGACCATGCTCAGAGAAATGGCGGCTAGCAGTGAACTGGAGGAGGATATTAACATTCCCCTGACCCGTCATCTGGAGAGAGAGACCAGAAGGAAACTGGGAATTCTGTAAGTGACTGGAGAGATGGAGCTATCGGTCAGTAGGTGCAGGTAGGCCAGTGGTAGCAGCAGGGAAAGTGTAAATTGGGTCATCAGAGAATAGAGTAAGGCCAGGGTTGGACAGGTCCCCTGAGTCAAAGGGCAGGCACAAGCCATGCACAAGGACAAGGGTAAGATTAGGGGTCAAGGGGACAGGATGGTCCAGCTGCCTGCCAAAACTCAGGAGCAAAGAAGTCTATGAGCAGGGGATGTGCAGGATAGGATCAAAGATGGGCAGTGACAGATGCTGGAAATCCAGGGCAGGAAAAGTCTTGAAGGGACCGTGAATTGTACGCAAGTCTGGGAAGCAAGGTTCAGACCCCTGGGCCTTTGAAGTGAGGGGACAATGGAGGATCAAGTTCATGTTCCCTGAGGGGGAAAAGCCCTGAGCCTCACTGCCCTGGGATTCATGGCAAGAGCCCCTGTTGGGAATGGGGAATGATAAGTTTATTGCAGACTGCTGCTGGCACCCAATCTTTCTAGTTGGCATGACTCCAGGTCTCAAAATGTTCCAGAACCCTGTTTGTACATCCAGACTGGGGTACATGGAAGCCTGGACTTTCACTTATCCAGCTGTCAGAAACCTTGATGAACAAGGTACATGGTCAGACATCCAGGGGGTCTATAGCAGACTCCCCAGCAGTGGTTGAGGATGAGGCTGTGAGGATGGGGTGCCCTGCATAACCTCCTTGGTGAATGGAGACTCTCACAAAAATCAGGGAGAGACTGACTGCCAGCAACTTCTGCTCTGGGCTCAGTAGAGTCCTAGGGCCAGAGAACCCTAAGGCTTCTCTAGGAAAAGGGAAGGCAGAATACACAATGCAAAACACAAAGAACATCCAAGCTTTCACATCCTCATACAGCGGCAAAAAACAAATCCCAAATAACATCCCTGTAAGGTACCCTCTCTCATATGTTACATTTTCTCCCCTTCTTTCCCATTTAAGCCTATAACGGAGGCTCATTCTAATCTAATTGCACTCAATGAATATTTCATGAGCACCTCCTGTGTGCCGGTCTGTACAGTAGTGTGTAACCCAGTCTCTACCACTGAGGAGCTAGCTAGTAAGGATTCCACTAGCTTGCAAAGGTGGGCAAAGAGCTAAGGGAGGAAACTTCCCCAAAGGGCCCTGGATGCCTCTGGCTGGATCCCCTCACTGGAATTTAACTCTTGTATGCACAAGGCATCGTGCTCTCAGCCGGCCGGACAGGCTTCACCCCACCCCCTCCTCCGTCCTTACTCTTTCACAGGTGACGGTAGGCAAGGTAACTGCTTCAATTCCATTCAAAGTGCTTGCAAATAAATAACACTTGGTACAAATGGGCCATGAAGAGCTCATTCTCCAGTTCCGCAATTGCTCCTAAAGTACAAAGAGCAAACCTCTATTTTCCCCCAGACAAAAGAGTCCAGCCCTTTCCAGCAAAGGGTATGTGCTTCCTAAGGTTGCTTGGGGTTAAATTATTATGCTCTCTTCAAGGACTCTGAACTGAGAACTTAAAATCTGTCTTGTCAAAGGCCTTCCTCTCTGATCCAATTAAGCCTGGGAGGCTCACTCCTTCCGGCAGATTCCCTTCCAAAAGGGCTCTGATCTGAGAACCAGGAAAGGCAGCTGCCTCTGGAGACCACCCTTATTTGGAAGTAAAACAGTCCAAGCCACTTTAATGCCAGGATGACTCCCTTCGTCTATTGACATGAGAGGGGGGTTGAGGGCGTGATCATTTTGAAGAGCTGTGCCTTAATGTGGCTTTCATGATAAGTCATTTTTGAGTGAGTGTATTTGAAATTTTCCTACTAAATGCGAAGGGGTTTCAGGTGGCTCTGTCCGGTTCGCAGACAATGCTGTTTCTCTAAGCTATTTCCAAACAGCCTTCGCTGAAACAGGCACAAGCCGCAGGGAAAGCAAGCCGTACGAGCTTAACTCACAGAGCCAGCCGTGCATTTGGACCTCCCAGCCCTGGCCTCGCTCCCAGGAGGACCCCCACTGAATTCATTTTGAAAGGTCTGGGGGTCAGCTCAGGGGCCCAAGTTGAAGGCCAGTCAGAGGCCAGGAGGGACGCACAGCACGATGTGCTGGCCCTTAATTCCTGAGTACAGACTGGAAGAAAGCTGGGTCCGAAGGCAGAGCCTTCCAGCCCGCCCTCCACCTATGAAAAGGCTGAGCAGGCCCTAGCACGGTCTACGGTGCAGCATGACATGGAAACATGAATCCAGTCTCAGCTTCTAAAGATGAGTCACGTTCCTTTTAGGCTGAAGAAAAATTTTGGAAAATATAAGGAAACAATCCTCTGGATTATGAAGAAACGTGAAAGTAAGAACCCTCTCCCACCTTCCACCCCCGCTGCCCGGCTCTCCTGGGTGCGTCTCGCTGTCTCCCACCTTCTGCCGTGTCCAGAAATGCTTGTTTCCTCAGCCGAGCATCTACTGGGCTAATACGGTCTCAGCTGCTGGGGATAAAACACAGAGCAAGCCAGACAAAGGATAAACCTCGAGGGGTTCATCCTTTGATTGTGCTGGGGGTGAGAGGGAGGGCAGGAGGTGAAGACAGCCAAGAAATCAGGGAATTTGCACATAAAACGGTTGATGGTATGGTTGGAGGGGTATACTATGGGACCACACAAGAAGGGATCTGACCTAGATTTGCCTGGGGGGGGCGGTGTCCAAGAAGTCATTAACACAAAGTTTAAGAAAGAGCCCCTTTACCAGATACTGAAGGCATTTGAGGTCCAGCTGTTAAGTTGGGCCAATCATGGAGGTTGCCAGTTTTTTGGGTCTAATCAAAAAGCCTAAGAGCCTAAGCCATCAGGCTACTTAATTCAGAAACTCAAAACCACCACATGGAACATCTTTCAGACGACCAGATCCAACTAACGTAGAAATGGCAGCAACACCCACGGCAGACACACCTAATCAATCATGGTGCTTTTTCTTGCTGAGCCAGGACGCAGCCCCAGGTTCCCTCTCAAGGAAGAGCTCCTGTCCCCATACCAGTGTAGGCCCCTGACCTAACTCCTATGGAATAACTGCTGCGGGCCAGTTATCGGATTCAAATTAATCTTCAAAACCATATGAAGTTGGGTAAAGAAACTTAGGCTGAGAGAATAAGTGACTTCCCTGAGATCACCCAGCTACTGTGTGGGCATGAACCACACTCAGGCCCAAGACCCCTCAGGTCAGACCCAGGGCTCATCTCCATGACATGTTCAATGAGCAACAAAAGGCAAGCGTGTCTGGGGAAGTAAAGGGCCTTCTGAGCCTGAGTCTCGTGTCCCCATTGGAGTTAGAAGGCAGGCAGAAGAAGGAATGACCACCTTCAGTTTCTAGAGCGGGCAGGCCTACCTCCCACCAAGACTCACACAATGGGGTACCCCCCAAACAAGGAGGGGGTTTCAGATGTTCAACAGCCAGAAACACAACAAATGCCTGTTATTATTTCTGTTCCCTTTGGGCCAAAGACACCTGTGTCTTTCACTCCTTGGCAAGGCACACAGTAGGCACTCAATAAGTGTTTTTGAAATGGATGCAGGTATGCATGAGTTTTTCCTCCTTTTGGGAAATGAAGGCCTTTCAGGATACTCTACGTCACATGCCCCAGGTAGGACTTCTAACTGGAGAGTGAAATTCGACATGACCGGATTCCCCATTTGTGCCTCACCATCACCCCTCACCCCTGCCCCACTCCCTGCTCCTCTGAACACCTGAGGCCTACAAGGTTTGAGCTTTTTATGCAGAAAAGCAACACATTTCTAATTGATAAGAGGCATCCCCTCCGTGTTCAGGTTGTAGCCAGTCCCAAAGAAATCCCGCAGCCTCCTTTGAGATACAAACTCAGTTACTTCCAGGATCCAGACCACTATCTGACACCCCAGGCACACAGCCCCACGTCTCTGAACTCTCCGATTTCCAAGCCAAGGCTGGCATCGCAGGCACATGACCTGCAGGCACACAGGTCCTCACACTTAAGGCCCTGCGCTTGCTTTTAATGCTCTGCTGTCACTGTCTCGAAATCCTTAACAATTTTAGAACAAGGATCCCTGCATTTTCATTTTGCACGGAGACCCTCAGATTAGGTAGCCTCTCCTATTCAGAGACAGCTCGCCTGGTGAAAAGAAGACGATCACTACACAGCTCGTGTCATGAGCCATCAGAATCCACAGCTCCCCGTGTGGAGGGCACAGGTCTGTTGCCCTTCTATGGGGCAGCGGGCTCCGTGCCGCATCATTTCAGAGTAACCTGACGGGTCTCTGCAGGCAGCATGATCCCACTTTAAGAAAACTGAGGCTCAGAAAGGCAGCCTAAAGCCTCCCCGCTAATAGAGACAGAGCTGGATAAACGGCACAAACCAGAAACTCCATGATTTTAGCATTCTGACAGGAGAAAAACATAAGCACGTCCATGTCCTCTTTTATCATTACAGTTCAGAAATGCTTTATATTAATTTCTAATTGATACTCAGAAACAGCAGCTGGGCTCACATCTGCGTTTTCCCCGGACAAATCATTTCCACTCTGGAAGCAAGCACTGGAGGAGGACTCCTCGGAGGGAGACTGAGGTCCGCTTCCAAACTTCCCACAAAGGTCTTTTATTGACTCTGCCCCCGCCCACCTCTCTTTCACTTTCCTGAGGAAAAGCTCCCCCTGTGAGCTCTAATGAGCGGCCCCTTTAGTTCCTCAGGTGCACACAGGTGTGGTTCTCCTTCCCCACCCCCACCTCTCCATCCTCACTGACACCACCTCAGACATCCTCATCTCCCTAGTGTCCCTGACTCCTATCCTCTCCTTTCTCAGTCCTTTCCCCATATTGTTTCCAACAAAATCTTTTAAAAACTCTTCACTGGCCCTCCATTGCCTCCAGGAAAATCCCACATTCCCCATGTGGCTTAGAAGGCCCTCACTTTTTCCTCTCCAGACACACTGGCTTTTTGGTTATTCATCAGGGCCAGGCATCCCTGCCACAGGGCCTTTGGACCTGCTGTCCTCTGCCTAGAGCACTCTTCATTCCAATACCCTTGTAATTTGCTCCCTCACTTTATTCAGGTCTCTGCTTAAATGTTACTTTCTCAGAAACAGTTTCCTTGGTTACCCTTTACAAACCAGTGCACACGCTTGCACGTGCACACACACACACACACACACATCATTTTCCATCCTTCTCACCTGCTTAATGTTTCTTCAGGGCACTCCTAGCCACTGGCACGTAAAGTTTTTATCTGTTCACTTGTTTAACACCATCTCCCCTACTAGAACAGGCAGCAGGGAATGTGGCATCCCCGATACCTAGGACAGTTTCTGGCACATGAGTACACAACAGATATCTACTGAGTGAATAAAGGAATGCTCTAGCCCTGCCTGCCTCTCCTGAGTCGCCTGTCATCACTAAGCCGGTCCCAGACCAGCCTTCAACCATGTCATGCTTACACTAGGAATTCTGCCTGGCACACGAGAGAAAACTTCCACCAGGAGTGTCCTCGACCGCCAGGCCTGGATACGGTCCCTGTGAGCTCTCATGGTGGTAGATTACATACCAACTCTCTGTGTTGGTTCGCAACCTCGGGGTCCCCCGGGTGAAATTCGAAATTAGCCCCCGTAAGCAGAGGGCAAGGAGAGACCGAAGAAAGAGGCAGCCCGCTCCAGATTGGTAGGTGGCAGGTTTAATAAGCAAGAGCACTTAACATTCGACGCTTGTCTTGGACGGCGCAAGACTTGCAGATTTCCACCCCCGCCCACGAGAACCTTAAAGTTTAGATGGAGGCCTTACCTGGCTTCAGGCACGTATCCCTCCAGATGGGCTCAACAGCACACTGCTCGCAACGCTGCGTCCTTGAAAAGGGCTCGCACTGTGGGAACCGTGGGCAGAACGTACATTCCAAGGACGGGGAGGGGCTGGGGAGCCTTCCATTGCCCCGGCCAGCTCGCTGGTCGAGAGGCGGTCACGTTCTCTCCGAGACCTCCTCCAACACTGTGTTGGCCCCAGTGGTGGGACAACCAACCTCTCTTAACTGACCTCCCCCAAACCTAGTAGCCGAGGGAACCGAGCCCTCTTCCGGGGAAGAGCGTCCTGACTGATACCGACCGCGCCGGAAGCTCCTCCTACCACTGCGCCCCCTGGTGGTCGGACACCCACCAAGGGTCCCTGGGAGCGGGGATTGTTCCCCCCGGTGGTCCTTACGGGTTTACTCCCCAAATTCAATTGTTATAAAAATGGACCAAAATGAAGATAAAAAGAAACTTGCTGTTGCTGCGAAAACTAAGTGCAATGCTTTTAAGATGACTTAATAAGAAAATAGCTTTAAAAAAACTGCTTTGAACAAGATGTGGACCAAACATACACAGAAGATTGGGGCATATACAGAAATTTTTTTGAAGTCTACAATTCTGCACTCAGACTATGTAGAAATTGCCAAAACTGAAAGTTACAGATAATAAATTATGAATGGGGTTTAAGCAAAAATGACCACAGAGCCCTGCACTTAAAAATGATGTGTTGGGGCTTCCCTGGTGGCGCAGTGGTTGAGAGTCCGCCTGCTGATGCAGGGGACGCGGGTTCGTGCCCCGGTCTGGGAGGATCCCACATGCCGCGGAGCGGCTGGGCCCGTGAGCCATGGCCGCTGAGCCTGCCCGTCCGGAGCCTGTGCTCCGCAACGGGAGAGGCCACAGCAGTGAGAGGCCCGCGTAACGCAAAAAAAAAAAAAAAAAAAAATGATGTGTTAGTACATATTTCTGTTTTAAGTTAAAACAAGCATGTTTCCTTTCTTTTTAATGACTCCCCACTTTAGCCTATTTTTTCCCCATTAACAGAATCAGCAGCCACACTTGTTACTGGCATGTGGCTGGTGTGTCACCCCTCACATCCCCAAGCCTGGACCGGGTGGTCTTCACCGTGGTGTCTGGCATCTGGCACTAAGCTGGCACATCATAGGCCCCTGATAAATGTCTGCTGAATGAATGAATGAAAAAAATAAGAGAGCTTGGGGAAATATGGCCAATATCCCAAATCCTCAAGCTCTCTTTGGTGCCCTGAGAGAAACAGATCTAAGTTTTCTTTCTCTTTTCTACCAAAGACTTATCTAACCAAAGGGCTACGGAGACTACTTTCACATTCGATGCATGTAATCTACCACCACAAGATGAGTCTGAGAAAGTAGTCAAACAATCTCGTCGTCTCGTTCGCCGTAAGAAGACGTTAGAAATACACACAGACTGGATAAAGAGCAAGATTAAGGTAAGTGTGGCAGTTGGTGTTTGCACTTTGCACAGGGCTTTTTTTTTTTTTGGCCCAGGTAAGACACATACACACACCATCAGGGAGCTGTCAGGACCAATACACAACATGAATACAAACAAGAAAAATACGTCCCATGTATAGAGGCACTCCTGAGTGTATGGGTTATCACAGACTCACTAGGACTTGTACTAGGGGTTGTTGAGACTCTTCTCCTTGTAGGGCCTACGTTAAGCAATTGGGTGGGGTTGGGAGTAGAGGAAAGGAAACATATATTATAATATATAGGTCCCTCCCCTAACAAATTTAAAATCTATATCGAAAAAGCAATCACAGAGGGACTTCCCTGGTGGTGCAGTGGTTAAGAATCCGCCTGCTAATGCAGGGGTCACAGGTTCGAGCCCTGGTCCGGGAAGATCCCTCATGCCGCGGAGCAACTAAGCCTGTGCGCCTGTATGCCACAACTACTGAAGCCCATGTGCCTAGAGCCCCATTCCCCACTCTGTCCTGCCCTGGAGCTTTTGTTCCTGGAGCATCTGTCTCCCAACCAATTTTAAATGTCCTTCCTGCAGCCAGGGGGAAGGTCCTCCCCGAGATCTCTAAGCAAAGGATCCTGCCTAACCCACCATTCACGTAGGCTGCCCAAAAGGCCCATGAGGAGTGGGACATTTGGTTGTTTTTTGTTTTTACATAGGGGCAATAAATTCCAAGTAGTTTGCTGAGTCAGGTAGCACTGTTTATAAGTGTGTGCTGGTGTTCAGGCAAAATCCAGCCCAGCCAGCATCTCTGCAGCAGTCAGGGAGAGATCACAGACAGACAGGAGCCAGGGAGAGCTCAGGGGCAGACAGAGAGACAGCAGTAGGGAGAACTCACAGACAGACGGCAGCTGTCTCAGAGCTCAGGGTCCTGCCTATAAGGCACTGTTTCCCTCTAGTAGAACTGAAGGAAGGCCAGAGATGTAGTCTCTTCTCTATTAACTTTTAGCTCTTAACCTCATACTTTGTCCCCAAGCCAGTAGTGATGAGATTTGGGCTTTTAGATGTGCTATTTATGATATATTTCCCAGTGAGAGAAAATGTGACAACTCTACCTCTGTGTCAGAGATTTTTCTTTGCCCACGGTGTCCTTATCATTAGGAAAATGTCATTCCATGACAAGTGAATTTGACAAGAAGGAAGCATCTTGAGAAATTCCGGCTTTCAGGTGGCTTTTGAAAATAAGACCTAAAATATAAAATCCTCTCCCGTGAATATTATCTAGAAGCTTCTTACGAGCTATCGATAAGGAAGAAACCAACCATGGATATCCTTATAAAGCACTTTTTTTTAGGTTTAAAAAAAAAGAGAGAGAAAGCAGTGATTTGCAGAGTAAATGTGCCAGGTGGCTGGGAGCTTAATGGCTAGAGTCAGTGTGTTTCCATGGGGGTGGGGGGGAAGGGATGGGAGGCAGACTGTGGGAGTCTGGCTCCCCTCTCACTGGATAGGCTTGTGTAAGTCAGGTAGCCTCTCTTAAACATGGATTAATGACAGTGTCTCCTCCATTGGGTCACTGTGTCATGGAAGTAAAGTGCTGAGCGCAGTGCTGGGTAGGGACAAGAGTCAGTTCCAGGATCATCATCATCACCTCACAGAGAGATTCCTGGGCATTTAAAGGCCTCACCCTGCAGAGCCCATAGCAGCTCCTCAACCAGCTGCCCCTCTTTCTTTCATTGTCTCGGATTTTGGCATCCTGTTGTGAGCTCTCTTGAACAAAGGATTCTTCAACTGTTAAAATTAAGAGCTCGAAAACCACTGATGTGACATCTATTTAGAGTAACACGGGACACAAGATGACTTCAAAAGGCGTCCTGCTACAAACACCTGGGAAACTTAGACAAAATGTTAAAAGAATCCTTTGAAACGCAGAGTGTATAAGAAAGTGCGGGAGGTAATACGAGAAATAGAAACTGGAAAACGAGAAGAGTGAGAGCGAGAAGAGTGTGGGTGAGGTGGGTGTGTCCTGGTGGAGGGGAGGGGTGGGAAGCAGAAGAACTGTCCTGATACCCAAGGGCTTGGGTTTTAATGCCTGATGGGGACAGGAGGGAGTTGGAGGACAGGCATCCTTCTCAAGCACAAGTGAAACAGCTACAATAAGTGATGACACACTCGGCCACAAAACAAGTCACAGAAAACACTAAAGAGCTGATGCCATATAGACTCTGCTCTCTTAACCCGGTGGATTTTAATTGGTAATAATAACATAGCCAAAAGCAACTGGTACATGTGCAAATTTTAAAACACTCTTGTAAATAACCTGTGTGTCAAAGAGGAAATCATATCGAAAATTTGAAAGGAGTCAGAATGAAATAAAAGGTAAGTATCTACACTTGGAAGAAAGAGCTAAAACAGTATTTTGAGAGAAATGTTATAGCTTTAAATGCTTATATTAAAGAAGAGGAGGAAGAGGATTGTGAAGAAGAAGAAGAAAGATGGAAATCGACGAGCTCAATGTTCAATTCAAGGAATTAGAAGAAAAATAGACTAATATAGAAGACCCACAGAAAGAAGACGTGTGTAGAAAATAATGATAGGAACAGAAATTGATACACTAGAAAGCAAAGAAATAGAATAAGCAAACCAAAAGGCTGGCTCTTTAAAAAGACTAGTAAAACAGGCAAATCTCCAGGCAACGTTGATCCAGAAAAACAAAAAAGAAAAGGTATAAATACTATAAAGAATGAAGACAGGGCTTCCCTGGTGGCGCAGTGGTTGAAAGTCTGCCTGCCGATGCAGGGGACACGGGTTCGAGCCCTGGTCCGGGAAGATCCCACATGCTGCGGAGCAACTAAGCCCCTGCGCTACAGCTACTGAGCCTGCGCTCTAGAGCCCGCGAGCCACAACTACTGAAGCCCGTGCGCCTGGAGCCCATGCTCTGCAACAAGAGAAGCCGCCTTAGTGAGAAGCCTGCGCACCACAACGAAGAGTAGCCCCCGCTCACCGCAACTAGAGAAAGCCTACACGCAGCAACAAAGACCCAACACAGCCAAAAATAAATAATGAATAAATAAATTTTAAAAAATAAAATAAAATCTGCACACACACGTGCACAGAGCAATCCATCTCAGCCTGCTTGTCACATAGACAGGTAAACCCACCTGGAATCCCCAGCAAGTTGGTGGTGGTTATGGGTGGGGGAGTGATGGGTGGGTGGCACATGGGAATCAGAGAGTAAGTAGACTGATCTCAAGCCTTCTAGTGACAACACCATGCTCTGATTAGGGACAATCAGCCCCTGCGAACTTTTCACAGGCTTGTCTCTTCTTCCTAGGTACATCAAGGTGATGCAAAAATCATTCTCTACCCCAGTGAGATTGTCTTCCAAATTCTCTTTCCTGATGGATCAGGCCAGATATAGTATCCACTGGAGCACAGGGACACATATGATGTCTGAAAAGTCTGTGATTCGGGGCCGGGGCATGGGTTTTACTGGGGTCTGCGTCCTCCGCAGGGCTCTGCTCTCTCCAGGGGACCCCAAGGGACTACTTGTGCCTTAACCATCTCCCAGTTATCCATCAGGACACCTGGCTATGCTCATCCTCAGTATAAAAGAGGGAAAGTTCACATACATCATTCTGGAAGACAGTGAAAATATGTGTGTCCAGGCCCTTATCAACAACTCTGGCCATGCCACCTTCTATGATGAAAATGGAAACATCTGGTAAGCTTGGGTCATGAGTCTTAAACACCCCTCCCCGAGAAGAAGCAGTGTGATTAAGGTTTTGATTCCCAGTCTGCACAGCTGTCCTCTCTCTGGGTAAGCCTCTCTTTCTGTCTCTCATTCACTTATGAATTCATTCATCCGACTCACACATGGGGAGATGGGTATCATGATGGGCCAGTAAGACAGGTCCCTGACCTCAGATGACACACTATCCTTTTTGCACCATTGCTTCCCCGCCAGGAAATAGCAATCACGGACCCAGTAAGGTGGGACCCTTTTGGTTTCAGCTCTCTATATCATTTAAGAATCAAACTTCATGAGAATTACCTTAGAAAGACCCAGTGACCCTCTGTTCCAGGTGCCTCTAAGAGGAGGGTATGGTGAGTGCTTTGGAGGGGCGTGTATTGTATTTTAAAAACATAACTTCTAAATATTTCATTGTAACTAACTTAGTTGTTATGTTCCCATTTCTGGTAATGGTGGGAAACCTCATCTTACCAATTCGAGGTAATTCAGTCACTTCAGAATTTTTCTCCACCTCTTTGGTTTAAGAACTCTGTCTTTTCAGGATTTCTCCCTTGCCTTCTGCTCTAATTGGTCATGGAGTGGGAAATGCATATTGTCTTGAACCAACTTTATACTTCTTGATAGTCAAGGCCAAAATTTTTTTAATTCCAAAAAAAGATTTTCATTCTCCAGGCCTTGGTTTTTAAGAATATTTTCTCTGCTATGAGGTTTTTCAACACCATTTCCTAGTTGACTACTTTGTTCTCAGGGGTATCTGCCCTTCCTGGAGGGCACTTTGTATAGAAATTGATGTCTGAAATACTACAAAGCTACAGTAATCAAAACAGTGTGGTATTGGCACAAAAACAGACATATGGATCAATGGAACAGAATAGAGAGCCCAGAAATAAACCCACGCACCTATGGTCAATTAATCTTCAACAAAGGAGGCAAGAATATACAATGGAGAAAAGACAGTCTCTTCAGCAAGTGGTGTTGGGAAAGCTGGACAGCCTCATGTAAATCAATGAAGTTAGAACACACCTTCACACCATACACAAAAATAAACTCAAAATGGCTTAAAGACCTATATATAAGACATGACACCACAAAACTCCTAGAAGAGAACATAGGCAAAACATTCTCTGACATAAATCATAGCAATATTTTCTTAGATCAGCCTCCCAAGGCAAAAGAAATAAAAGCCAAAATAAACAAATGGGACCTAATCAAACTTATAAGCCTTTGCACAGCAAAGGAAACCATCAACAAAACGAAATGACAGCCTACAGACTGGGAGAAAATACCTGCAAATGATGCAACCGACAAGGGCTTAATATCTAAAATATACAAACAGCTCATACAACTCAATATCAAAAAAATAAACAACCCAATCAAAAGAAGAAGACTTAAATAGACATTTCTGTAAAGAAGACATGCAGATGGCCAATAGGCACATGAAAAGATGCTCAACATCACTAATTATTAGAGAAATGCAAATCAAAACTACAATGAGGTACCACCTCACACCAGTCAGAATGGCCATCATTAAAAAATCTACAAACAGTAAATGCTGGAGAGGGTGTGGAGAAAAGGGAACCCTCTTGCACTGTTGGTGGGAATGTACACTGGTGCAGCCACTATGGAGAACAGTATGGAGGTTCCTTAAGAAACTAAAAATAGAGCTACCATATGAGTCAGCAATCCTGCTCCTGGGCATATACCCTGAGAAAACCATAATTCAAAAAGAAATATATAGCCCAATGTTCATAGCAGCACTGTTTACAATAGCCAAGACATGGAAGCAAACCAAGTGCCCATCAACAGATGAACAGATAAAGAAGATGTGTCATATTTACACAATGGAATATTACTCAGACATAGAAAAGAATGAAATAATTCCATCTGCAGCAACATGGATGGACCTAGAGATTATCATACCAAGTGAAGTAAGTCAGAGAAAGACAAATATTATATCACTTGTATATGGAATCTAAAAAATAATACAAATGAATTTATTTACAAGACAGAAACAGACAAAAAAAAAACAAACTTATGGTTACCGAAGGTGAAAGGGTAGGGGGAGGGACAAATTAGGAGTACTGTATTAACAGATACACACTACTATATATAAAATAGATAAACAACAAGGATTTACTGTATAGCCCAAGGAACTATATTCAATATCTTGTAATAACCTATAATGGAAAAGAATCTGAAAAAATATATATAAAACGGAATCACTTTGCTATACACCTGAAACTAACACAATATTGTAAATCAACTCTACGTCAATGAAAAAAAAATTTTTAAAGAAGGGAATTGATGTCTAAAAGGGGGAAGAAAGTACTGGATACAAGAAGCATCTGGGAGTGGGGACCAGAAACTCAGTCAATTATCTCCAATAGCATCTGCTACATACAGTAGGGCCTCTTCTCCCTAACGACACTTAAATTTTATGGCCACAAGAGACCTAGGGAAAATCTACTTTCACATTCTTGTTGAGGAAACTTAGGGACAGAGAAAATAATGAGTCGTTCGCCCCAAGCCATACATAAAATCACAGGTGAGCAGTTTTATGGAATTTTGACCCAGCCTGAAGTAAAGCATTCTTTTAAATGATCAAATAAAGTTTGCAAGACAAACAACATCTTATCCCAGCGCATCAAAACCCAAGGGGAACGATGGTGCTCAGAGCTGGGGAATGGCTGCCCCCGCCTCGAGATTCTGATTCTGTAGGTCTGGGGCGGGGCCTGGAGATCTGCATTCTTTAAAAGCTTCCCAGGGGATTGTAGGGGTTGGCTGGTGCTGGAGCCCAGGCCGGTGTGCCCACCCGTCTCCCAGGGCTGTGGCACCCACTCGGGGCTGTAAGATAAAGACAGGGGACTCCGAGGCAATACATCCCGTCCCCTCCAGGGGGCGGCTGCTGTGTGACACCACAGACCGTTCCTGGGACTCCAGGACAGCCTCAACTCCATGAGGAAATGGGCCCAGAGGTCCTGTCCTGGGGGAGATCAGTGACCAGTGGTTCAACCTCTCTTCCTCTGGGCAGCCCAGCTTCCAGGCCCAGGCACTCGCCTCGTGGTCCCCTCCTGGCCCAGGAGCCCCTAACTTCTCACCTCCCGTCTCTTTCCTTGGGACCTGCAGACCTCTTGCCTTGGAAGTTTTTCGGAGTTTGTGTCGACCCCTTCACAGCTCCTGATTCTCCAGAGTGGGAGACATACCTCCCTTTCTAACCCTGGACTCCTCCCTCACGGGGAAACTGGGCCGCTTACAACCAAGAGGCTGTGGGATGTTGAAAGAGAATCGGTTCTGCTCAGAGTGCGCCCCGAAAATCTTAGCAAGGGGCCCGGGCAGCATCCTGCCCCCAGGGCCACAGGCCAGGGTCCGGGCCCCCGAGGGCCTCCGCTCTCACCCGCCGCCCATCAGGGGCCCCCATGGCAGGAGAGCCTCCACAGACGTGTCACTGTTGCTTTTTCTTGCCCTTCCTTCTTGCTGCTGGCCGGGCAGACTGAGTGGGAGAAGAGAAGCGCTCCCACTCCGACTACCCCGACAGGGCTCGGCCGCTCTGCGCACAGGCCGGGAGGCCCCAGGCGGCTGCCCCGCGCTCAGCTGTAAGCAGTTCATTGCCAAGGCTTTCTTACTGCCTCTCCCAAGGGCAGCTGCATCTTCTCTCTCTGGGTCAAGCTCTCATCTCATTTGACTTCAACCAAAGTGGCTCCACGGATGGCATTTCAGGCATCAGAGACCTGGATGGGAGAGGGACTGTTCCTGTGTAAAGCCTCACACCCATCACACCTGAAAGTTCACACCACGGGTCAGAGCGCCCCAAGCTGCTTCCGCCCGCAGGGGTGGTGGCACCCGAGAAGACTGCTCCCACCGCAGAGGGACTCAGCCCCTGACGGACTTCACGGTCAGAACTGCAGGCCCCTCGTCACTGGGAGAGAGATCCTGTGGCAAAGGCCCTCCAAGCCATTTGGGAACATTCAGCTGCTGCGCCAGGGCCCCGCCGACCCTCATCACTGCGGGGAATCCCACCTCTCTCCTGGTCCAGCCCCGCCTCCATTCCTCCTTCGCATCACAGGCCCTGGGAAGGATGGAGCACCAAGCTGATTGGAGGACTGAATACTTCTCGGGTCATTTTTTGATCCCATCTCCTCAGGGAAGCCAGAAGGCGTGGCTGAAGTTTGCCAGCTGTGTGGAAACTAAGCTTCACCTCCACCCTCCAGACCCACGCTTGAGGAACCGCAGACCAGGCCTCCCTCCAGAGCTCAGGGTCCCACACAGCAAGGCCCCAGACCTGCCCAAACTCGGGGTCCCTGGTGGTGGGTCCCGCCAGCTCCACAGTTTGGGTCTTTACATCCCCTGAGAAGAAGCCTTCAATTTCACACCATTCCTGGGTGTTCTAGACGCCAATTTCTTGAGGGAGGCTTAGCCCAGAACCGGATACCTCCAGGCTGAGACAGATCCTAACCCTGGGAAATGGGGAGGGCCTCGTGCAAAAATTCTGATGGGAGCCATTTAAAGGGTTAGAAGCTAGCGGGGATCCGCTCCCCTGCAGAGTGAAAGAAGACTCCTGTTTGCCCTCTCCATCAATGATAATAAGGAGATCCTAATGTTCAACGACTTACTGCTTTGTACAGGCACTTAATCCTCACAAATACCCTATGAGTAAAGCACTGTTATTATCTGCATTTTACTGAGGCACAGAGAGGTTAAGTAACTGGCCCAAGGTCACACAGCTTGCAAATGGCAGAGCCAAGCTATGAACCTAGAAATTCTGGCTCCAGAGCCCAGGTTTTTAATACATTACATGCATCACAGCCTCTTGTCAAGGTAAAGAGGGATGTGGTTGGACAGGCTGGGCCCCATGGTGAAGGGACTTAATAATTTGCACTCGGCTCGATGGGCAGTGGGAAGCAACAGGAGGACCTAGCGCTGGGGAGTGACCAGAAGAAGTTCTCCTTATTGGAAGTGAACAAGGCAGCCGTTAGCAGGCCTGAGCCGGCCTCTCCCTCCCAGCGTCCTACAAGGCCCCTGAACACCCCAGACGAGGCCTGACAGGTGGTCTGAGTAATCCGGGCTCCCCCAAACCCTACCTTCTCCTGACTAACCCAGGTCCCAGATTCTCTTCCCTTCTGCATTTGACTCCCGAGAGAAGTTGCTACCCATCAGCACCAATTCTCAAGACGGCCCCGGTGGGATTCAAAAAGCAGAAGCCAGGGCAGAGGGCTATGGTGGGCTTGAAATGCCAGGAAGGGACGGCTCAAAGGAGAGCAGGGCCTGGGCTGAAAGAGGGAGGAGCCCACCACCCCTCGCTCACCCACAGCTGTTTCCGCGGGCGCCAGGCGCAGTGCGGGGCAGGGGCCACCCGGGAGCCAGACAGAGGTGGACCCTTCCCTCCAGACCACAAGTTACATTTCCATTTTAGTGGGACGGACGGATGATAAGCAAACCCAGTCGATTCTCATTATTCGAGATAGTTCTGTTCTATAAGGTCTGCAGAACATGAACTAGCAAACCCTGAACCATTGCTCCCAGGGGAAAGATGCAAATGCACACATTCCACATAGAGTCACAAACACGCACAGAGCACTGAAGGATTTGAGTTGCCTGATGTGCACATTCCCAGCTGCTTTGCCTTCTTAATTCAGCTCTTGACGAGGGAACCAGAGGATGGAGCCAGGAGGAGCAGGGCACGTGGCACCAGCAGCTTCAGTTCTGGGGCCGCCGGCTGGAATCTACCAGGATGGGTTGTTTCTAGTATGTACGGTTATCTATGTGATATATACACACACCTATTTCCCCAGGGAGCAGTGGTTCAGTATTCGCTAACTCTGTGTTTGAGGCAACTTTACAGAACCCAACTACACCAAATAAAGGGAATCAATGTGTATTAGTAAATCATAGGAAGGAAATTAACAAAGAGATGGAGATAGTCATATCGGGACTCAGGGGGCTTCAGGAAGGGCCTCTCTGAGGAGGTGACATTTAAGCCGGGGCTTACAGCATAAGCAGGAGGGAACCACGCCAAGCAGGGTGGGGAGACCTCTCCAGGCAGAGGGAACAGCACGGCAAAGCCATGAGGAGTTCGAGAGCACGTGTGACCCGGGAACCAAAAGGAGCAATTGGGTGTGAGGGGCCAGGAGCACCAGAGGAGGCTGAACATGGACAGGCCAGGGCCAAAGGGCTGCACCTAGATGGGTTCACCTCCTTGTTGGCATTTCTCCCACCTGCCAAGGCCCCACGTTGGGGGGAAAGAGCACGGGTGGGAGGGGAGGAAGGAGGGGCAGGCTTGCACCCCTGGGAGAGGCTGTGCCCTCGCCCCCAGGGCCCAGTGCTGTGGCTGCCTGATGCCTTCTTGGTCTAGGTTGAACCTGAGCCCAAACCTGGGATACTACTTCACCAGAGACAAGTACCAGAAGGCCTGGAACTGGTGGGATCTGAACCTCCACATCCATGCACCCCCCATCCAGCCCATCTCCTTGAAAATCAACCAGTACATCAAGGTACAAATAAGGAGCCAGGATAAGATCATCTTCCGCTTCATCCACAAGCAGCAGCACATTTGCTTAAACCTAGGCACCAAGTACAAGGTAAGGTCTCAACTCCCCACGTCTCCTGCCAGGTGGGGAACTACCTGCACGCAGGCCACTGCTGGCTTGAACTGGTCCATGCCCAGGCCTCCAGGCCATGTTTTTCAACACTCCAATCCCTAGGGAAACGAGGCCCCCTTCCCTGACCTGATGCTTGACCATATACAAAGCAATCATTTAACTTCCGAACACTTATCACTTAACATAAGATTCGGAGCTGAGGAAACTGACATTCGCATCCCAGCAAGACCCAGACACGCTCCAAGGGAGCTCCAGATGGATGTGGGGCCCGTAGGCAGACACCGTGAGGGCCTCACTCTCCTGCTGTGCTAGGGAAGCCAAGGGGAGAAGCTGGACGCCCCCAGGAGGGCACAGCCTTTGGAAGGCAGGTCACACCAGGGCCCAGCAGCTGGCCACCCTTTGGTTTGGGGTCAGGTTGGGATGTGGCCACGGGCACAGGCCAAGTGAGTGTCTTGGGGAAGCAGCAGCAAGGTTGCTGGTGGTAGGGCTGGGTTCACAGATTGGCCCTGGAGAGTGACGTTTCCAGGGAAGGCTCGGTCATGGCCACAGGGTCCTAATCCTGACGCGGGGGGAGCTTGGCGCCCAGGTAGCATTAATCCTCACGAGCCGCCTGTGAATTCCCACAGTACATTACCCCGGCGGTGCTGAGCGAAATGAAGAAGGAAGCAGTCCTGGAGATGGAATTCAGTTCAACGGCTCAGAAGATCCAGATCCTTCTAGGGAAAATGAGGACGATCCTGAGTACACTGACCACCTCTGATTTGGAATGCTTCATACAGGGCAGCAAGATCTTGCCAACAAGACGATATGAGTCGGAGGAGGAACTCTCATCTTCCAAGCCGGGGCAGTCACCAAATTGTGCTGCTTCGGCATGTGCTGAACGTTCCCGGGAGGTGGAGGTGTCCAAAGCCCCGAGGAAACCCCCAAAGCCCTAGTTCATATCTTGTGGGAGCTGGTTTGTAATTTGGGACCTATCACAGCTCCTTGATTTGGAGAAAAAAAAAAAAAAGTTTTTCAGGGGCTGAGAGGGGCTGACAGAGTCTGTGGCTGGGCACAGAAGAGACTTAATCATGCGCCCTGCCAGCATTAGAAGCAAATTGTTTCAGCAGACAATACACGTCAACACCTGTCCTGCTTGCTTCTACTGATCACATGAATGCAGATGTTCTTTTGTGACTTTCCCATGCTTGGGTTGACTCAGGACACAGACTACCTCAAAGCCTAGCTCTGCCCACTGTTGGCTGTGTGACCTTGGGCAAGTAGCTCTCTGCCTCAGTTTTCTCATCTGTAAAATGGGTCTAGAAATAGTAGCTTCACAAACACCCCCGCCAAGACAGAGGGACGCCCAGTCAGCAAAGCAGCACCAGCCTGCAGCCAGTCCCCCACACCAGGAGCCCAAAAGGACCCACACTTAAACTCTCTTCAATAGCTGGGCCCCTTTTGGTCACTGGTTACAGTCACCAACTCAAATAGGTAAAGCAAAATGGGAAACGTGTAATCTGGATGGAAGATGCAATGGGTCTCAGAAAGGACTGGCACGTGGGAGGGCCCCGGGAGCCAGGAGGACTTTCGTTCTCAGCTCTGCGACACCGGTCTTGTTCCAAAGACATGTTTTTATTTTTTTATTTTTTATTTTTTTGCGGTACGCGGGCCTCTCACTGCTGTGGCCTCTCCCGTTGCGGAGCACAGGCTCTGGACGCGCAGGCTCAGCGGCCATGGCTCACGGGCCCAGCCGCTCCGCGGCATGTGGGATCTCCCCGGACCGGGGCACGAACCCGCGTCCCCTGCATCGGCAGGCGGACTCCCAACCACTGCGCCACCAGGGAAGCCCAAAGACGTGTTTTCTATGCATCTCAGTTCACATGGCTTTGTCTCCTGGTCTTTCTCAAAAGATCCCACTGGTCTCTATTGGCCTGGCTTGATCAGGAGGCCACACTTGGTGTGATCCACTGTGGTAAGGGAGGGTGGGGTTATGTCTTAGGCTCCTAGTCGATGTCAAGCATGGAGAGGGGCAGTAGTTTCTAGAAAAGGGGCACTCAGGAGCTGGGCAATCCCCGATAGCGTGCCTTTTATATGTCCCTGGGATACTGCAAACTTCCCAGGATGGCCTCAACTACAGCCTGAACCAAGAGTACAGGAAACACCTCCTTCCCAGCTCAGCCTAGCAATTAGCCAGCTGATCCCAGCTGTGAACAGACAGCCCAGCCCCACCTTCGCGGCCCCGCTCTCCAGCCGATCCCACACTGCGCTCACCAAAGTCTCGTCCTCACCCCAAATCCCGACAACTGCGTGCCTGGGGTGGGGCCAGGGTGGTCAGGCTGGCAGTAGTGGGGTGCTGCATGGTCACTTTCCCAGTGTGACTATCACACCTTGTTGGCAAGTAGCATCATCAGCTAAGACAACAGGTACTTTGTTGCCAGGTAGTGACCGCTGGGGAGCAGACCGTCACAGGCCACACAGTGCTTGGGTTGACTCAGGACACAGCCATTCTAGGGACCTTGTTAGTTTACACCTCCGCTGGCGTGGGCAGAGGTCCCTTCTCTTACCAGGCCCTGGAGACAAGAAGCTCCGCAGTCGCGTCTCGCAGCAAACAAATCCTCCCGAGCCTGCGTGCATCTCAGAGCCCCGACGCTCCTCCCACGTGTGCCTGGGAAGCAGACAGCCCTGGTGGGGGTCTTGGTGCCACCACCCGCCAGCTGTGCGACCTTGGCCACGGCAGTGAGCCCCTCTAGGACTCCGTTTCCTCCTCTGGAACAGGAGGGCAACCACCAACACACCTTGCAGAGTTAGAATGAAAGCAGGTGGCGTCAGTGAAGCGCTCAGCGTGGCGCTGCACAGGTGTGGGCACTTTATCATCCGTCAGTGCCTCTCCCTGGTCTTTCTCCTTCCACAAAACCTGAAGACATGACTCACCCCATTAACACAGAGACTGTCAGCAGGTGGCCTCGCAGAGGCATTGTGCTCGGTCAGCTCCCTGTTTTAAATATTCTATTGCCAACGTCTGTAGAGACACAGTATTTCACGTCGGTTTTAGGCATTTCCAGCCTCTCTTGTAGCTGCTGCTCTGTTCGAGTCTTATCACCGGCCGGACACAATTACCCAGCACCCAGGGACTATTTCATAAGGAAAAGGGAGTTACCTCACAGATTGTGAAGGAAGTAGCGAAAGTAGCCAGATGACCGGGAACTATAAAAATCTGGCCCCCACCCTCTGTATTAGTTTGCTAGAGCTGCTGTAACAAAAAGGACCACACACTGGGTGGCTTACACAACAAAAATGTATCATCTCACAGTTCTGGAAGCCCTAAGTCCAAGATCAAGAGCGTGGGAAGGATGTGGCCCAGGCCCGTCTCCCAGCTTCTAGTAGTTCCTTTGTCTTTGGCAGTTTTCACATGGTGCTCTCCCTGTGTGCACATCCCTGTATCAAACTTCCCCTTTTTATATGAACACCAGTCATACTGGATGAGGGGCCCACCCAACTCCAGTATCTTAACCAATTGCACCTGCAACAAGCTGGTTCACAAGACGCTTCCTGCTTGGATACCAGGAAAACTCACTAGAGAGCAAGTACCACCAGACACCCCCCAACACACATACGGCTGCAGCGCAGTGTAGGAAGCAAAACCGACACCAGAAACGGAAAGAGACGCCCTTCCCCTGTGCCTTGCAGCGTGGCGCCAGCACCCTACCGAGCCTAACTTTGCACCAGCTGGCAATGGAGAAATGTTCTCAGGGTCCAGCTCCAGAATCTCAAAGCAGGGCCCAAAAGGGTGGATTTGGAGCTGAGGGGCACTATAAACCTGCATCTGTAATGCTTCCTGTTCTCCTTCCTCTGGTCCTCCTGCTTCTGGTCTGTCCCCTGCACTCCCATTTCCTTCCATTAAAGCCCTTTTCTGCTCAAGTTCGACATGATGCCTTCTGTTGCTTACACTCAAGGACCCTGAGAGATACAAAGGATGAGTAGTAAGGAGACAAGTGTGGGCAGATAGATATGCAGGAGCCTGAACAGCCCGTGTGCATCAGGAGGTGAAAGTTTTAGCAAAGGGGAAGGAGAGTGGTAATAAGACTAGGTTCCTGGGGACTTCCCTGGTGGTCCAGAGGCCAAGACTCCACACTCCCAATGCAGGGGGCCTGGGTTCGATCCCTAGTCAGGGCACTAGATCCCATATGCTGCAACTAAGAGTTCACATGCTGCAACTAAAGATCCCGCGCACGGCAACAAAGATCCCACGTGCCGCAACTAAGACCTGATACAGCCAAATAAATAAATAAATACTAAAAAAAAAAAAAAGACCAGGTTCTTGTAGTAAAGACACTCCAATATTCCCAGCAAGGAATATTGAAAACGAAGGCCTTGACACAGGGCAATGGCATCGGAAATAGCAGAGGGGAGGAAATAGAGGCGGGCAGGAGGGGGTAGAGAACAGGCAGGACTTGGTAGGAATGGGATGGGGAAGGGAAGGCTGTGTGACTTGGGCCCAAGTGGATTCTTTCAACAGATACTGAGCATCTACCTCAGGCACTGTTCTAGGCACTAGGTATACAGCTGTAAACACAGCAAAGCCCCTCCCCCGGGTAGCTTACAATCCAGACTGGGGGAGTCAGAAAAAATAAAAACAAGTAGGGACTTCCCTGGTGGCCAAGTGGCTAAGACTCTTCGCTCCCAATGCAGGGGGCCCGGGTTCGATCCCTGGTCAGGGAACCAAGAGTTTGCATGCTGCAACTAAGACCCGGCGCAGCCAAAAAAAAAAAAAAAACCAAGTAAGTAAAAGACATCATTTGTTGGTATGAACACAACTAAGCCCGGTGAGGGGATAGCAAGTGCTAGAAATTGGGGGTTGCTGTATACATCACAGGGTTCTGCAACCTTGCCACCATCCACATTTTGGAGTGGATAATTATGTGTAGTGGGAGGCTAGCCTGTGCATATTTGGCAGTTCTAGTTGCTTCTACCAACTAGAAGCCAGTAATACCCCACACACACCAGTCATGACAACCAAAAATGTCTACAGGCGTTGCCAAACGCACCCTTGGTGGCAGGGGGCAGGGGTCATCCCTTGTTGAGAACTACTGTTGCAGATCACATTTGGGTTGTTTTGTTGTTTTATGGCCCAGCATCTATCTGTCTTGGCAAATGTTCCACGTACTTGAAAAGAATGCCTTCTGCAGACTCTGGTCCATTCTATAAGGAGTCCACACATTATTTTTAAAAAAAAAAAAGTCATTGCCATGAAAACAAGCAAACAAAAACTTTACGAATTGTCTAAATTAAAAGAGACTAAAGAGATGGAACAATCAAGTTAACACGTATGAACCTGGAAAAGAAAAAGCTATGAAACATTTTGGGGAACAATCGAGGAAAGTGGAATATGGGCTACACAGTAGATATTACTGATTTTTTTTTTCTTTGAGGTGTGATAACGGTCTTAGGGTTACTGTTTGGAGCTGGATGCTGAAGTATTTAGGGGTAAAATGTCATGATGCCTGCAACTTACTTCAAACAGTTCAGCAAATGAGTGTGTGTCTAAGCAATGATAATTAAAACGCACCTGACTGGGAATTCCCTGGTGGTCCAGTGGTTAGGACTCGGTTTTACTGCCGGGGCCCAGGTTCAATTCCTGGTAGGGGAACTAAGATCCTGCAAGCCGTGTGGCACAGCCAATCAATCAATCAATCAATCAATAAACTCACCTGATTAATAAAAGTGTAAAAGAGCCCAATCCTGTAAGAAAAGTTATTTTAGAACATACATAGAAAAAAATCTGGAAGCTATATGCCAAACATTTAACAGCAGTTTACCTTTCAAGGTTCATTTATGGAAGACTTTCACATTTTATGTTGAAATGCAAACACTACAGAAATGTCTAATAGTGAACATATTTTGATAACCAGGAAAAATGTTTTTAAACCCCCCCCCCAATACGCATTTATTGGAT